TATGAGAGTAACTAATCAAAACTGAACGCTCTGATTGACTGAAGATAACGACAATTGTTAAAATATCCAATTTCTCAATATTTTGCACTATTCAAGCGTGCAAATTCCTGAAGTTAGACAAATTTACCTTCACTGACCTCGATATGGAACGATGTCAGAACCTCAGCGAGAATAATCAGGATCAGCATCTGATTTCAGGCCCGCATGACTGCATAGCGCAGTTTCTCTAAAATTCATTTGATTTCAAGCTCTCTGCATGGATTCTCATTCTTTTCGAAATGCTTCAATTACTCTCATTACTTTTCTATACCAAACTCGTTCTCTGTTTTTCGTTTTCTCATTCCTCTCACCGTACATGGAAGCCAATCCCTCATCAAAATCTCATTCTCTAATAAATATACTCTCCAATCGCCTATTTAACAGTTTGATTTATTCAATATTAATGTAGATATTAAAAGAGAATAAAAGCCATAATGTTGATATCGGTTGATTGCTCACGTTGCAGTGTTCAGCAGAATTCATTGACATTCTCGACTCTGCTAATGTTTATAAAATGATTGATTCATATTTTTGATGTTCATATTATATTGTGTTCATTTCAAATTATATTGATAAATTCACGAATGTTTTATTCGATTATTCAATCAATTGATTCGTGATTCATACTGATATGCTTCATTGTAATTCTTATGTCATCAGTGAATCAGAACGCAGCTTCGAAACGCTGACTTACCAGTGATAACAGTGCATTCATCTGTAAATGATTTTTGATTTATATACATTCCTTGAGAACTTTATTCACTGATCGAATAACATTACAGTGCTGCATCTTTATTTATTAAATCAGCAAATCCAACTCATTACGAGTTTATGCGTCTCCGTTATCACTGAATATTTAAATGGCAAGTAACAATTCACACATATGTATCACCTTGTTCAAGCCTGGATCTAATATCGCTTATTAGATACCTGTCTCGAAATGCACCATTCCAACAAAAACAGCCTCAAATTTCTCACCTCACATCAGTTTCGAGACTGGAGATGCGTTCTCCCGTCATCAATCATTAGGTTCTACTCTTGATCAAGTTATTTATTTTGTAAGCATAACTTTGGTGATATTGAATTGATTCATTGAGATTGTTATTGAATCGATAGAGAGCTGAATGTTTGTGGAAGGAAATATAATGATTTAGGTGTTGATTCGATTTCGGCGAGTGGGTTGTTGATTTTTAGGGGTGTATTGATGGAAGCTTGTTATTATGCATTTCAGTTTTGATATTGATTATTTGTGTTGCGTTCGTTCGATCACTCTTATTTCATCGTTCATTATTCATTCGTAGAATATTTTTTATTTTTCAATTGTCTTTATGAAATGCAGTTGTATAAGACAAAAAATAGCGATTTCACAATAAAATAATAATAATATTTAATATAAAGGTGAAATTATGCTTTCGTGAAGCGCATCATGCATTATCAAGCATGATTCATTCATTCCACTTACGATTTCATATTCTGTTTCATCGTCGATTTGATTATTATATGATGGGTTTGGTTTTGAATGGTCGATATGCTGCATAGTAGGGTTTAATTTGGAGTTGTTGAGATTACTGTTTGATTAATTGATTATTGTTGTTTGTTGTATTTGGTTGGAGTTATGATTATTGCTTCAGTTCATAATATTATCATTTCTTTGTGTTTATTCGATTTGATGTGGTTATGAAAATATGGATGGAAAGTAACATTATAATGCTTGGAGATAATAGGATAGAATCGGTGATTGACAGCGTCTAATTTATCGAGAATACGAGGGTTCGTATTTGAGAAAAAGTGTGTTGTTTATGTTGGTGTTAGTTATGGTCGAGATGGAGTAGCAGAATCCATGAAATAAATCTATAAGATAGAGTATTATTGGTTATTGCTTGTTTTAGAGGGATTTCGAAGAAGTCGATCGGAAATTTGTTCGTTTGATAATGAATTGCAAAGAAGATGGATAGATTGTTTTTAGGATTGCATTTACTCATGCTTGCATTGTCACTTGTATCGATTATCCGTCACGCTCTCCTTTGTCTTGAATTAATAAATTCGGAATGTGATTCTGAAGTAATCTTCGATCAGACTGAAATCGTGTTTTGATTCAATTTCACTTCTTTCTTCATCATATCATTCCAATGACCGCTTTTTTCGTTAAACATTCTTAAAAAGAATATTTTATGAACTGAAATAAAATGTGCACTCATTGAGTGAGAAATCAGAGCCGACGTTTGGATGTCATTAGTGAGCTATTGTTAATCCGTTGTGTTGTTGTTATTATGTGCTGAATACAGATACGAGCTGTTCGTGCAAAAACATTCATTCCACGACATATGCACAACTGCGTTCATCTAAGTTCATCTCATCAAGTACATCATTCAAAACACATCCCATTGCACTACCCTCCTCATGAACCTCAACCATAAATGTGCACATAACGTCTTATCCAACTATAATTATCGCAATGTACTCAGTGATAGGCTCACATCGGCAACTGACACTGAAACAATAACGACCAGTCAGTCAGTCCATCATTCGAGAGATAGATGAGCCTGGCACACATGATCTACCGCATTCCAGTTGTTCTCGTCTCATACACTGCTGCACCCAATCGATTCTTACTATTATTATTGTTCTTATTATTATCATTATTATTATTGCTGTTTTTTTTATTAATTATTATTACCTACACTTATTACTATTTCCCTACACTCATTTAATGCTTTTACTCTATGCTGTTTTTTGTTCTGTCCCTTCAGGCACATTTAGTCACGGTTTCTTACAATCTGTTTCGTCTCTGAAATATCCGTGCGCTATCAGTTTCGTCTCTATAGACTACACACTATATAATGCTGTCTGTATAAGCCGGCGTAGAGGATGTCTTGTAAGCCTTATGCTTACCTCAATTCAGCTTTCGCATGATCAATGCTCGTTTCTAGATATGCATCTGAACAAAGCCATCATCTGATGTATCACATGACAGACATATAGAGCGTGCGGCCGCAGTGAGGATATATGAATATGCATACACATACATACACATACACATACACACACATATCGATTCGGTATGTCCATATCAATCTCGTAGTTTTACTTTGTGCTGTAACTCGTGCAGCTATTGTGACTGGTGCATGCCCTCGAGCATGCATCGTTCTTCTTTAGAGACACACCCCAGCAGCTCTCACTTAGCGAGCAACTTATTTGTTTTTAGCAACGTTCACTTTTTGCTCACTTCTTTTTTATTTATCGTTCGTTTTTTCATGAATAAAATCATTATTTGTTTAGTTTACTTTCAACTGTTTATTTGATTTACTTCTCATCTATTCATTAT